TAACTCCAACTGCTAGATACTGGTGTCAACAGGGTGTTCAAAGTTAAATTGCGAGCCGCGTGCAAGCATTGGATGACAGAAGGTAAGCACACATTTACCAAGACAGGGATGCAACACCGGGCTAGTTACGCCACTAGCTGTCAATGGATTGTCGATGCCTGGGCCAAAGTATCCGTCTCAACTGTTGTCCGAGCTTTCAAGAAGGCGGGAATCATCAATGAACAACCAAACAACAGCAACGAGACTGACTAAGATGACAACGAGAGAGAACCGGGCTTGTATGATGTCGCTATCGCCCAACTGTTAAACTGTGATACAGAAGATGAAGAATTTGACGGATTTGTAGAAGAGGAATGGTTGAAAAAGTGTGTGTATTTTTCTGTGTTTCGTGTGTATTACAGGTGAACAATATTGATAGTTATTGTTAATGAGTTGAATTAAGTCTGACCTCTCCGACACTTTTGTTATGGTTTATGCGCCTTATAATCCGGTGCGCCTTATCGTACTAAAAATACCATACCTTATTTCGAACCTGATTCTGACTGTCTGAAAAAACCGGGGTTGTCCTGTATCAGCCCACCGAGGTAAAATTCCTGTGGGCTTGTCTGCAGATCGCGCGCCCCAAGTTGATAGAGATAGGCGTGGCTATGGCGGATGTGGACAACGTGGCACTGGTCGGCTGCGTCATCACTACAGTTAGTCTGACGGCAGAAGGACGATGACCGCGTTCATTTACCTACCGTGGCTCGCGTTTTTGTGAACGCCGGTCATTTACGGTTGTTGTCCCCACCATCCAATAACCACCTAAAATTTAGCGAAACACGCGAAAGGCTACTGCGCGTGCAGTGACATGCATTTCTCTCTCACTATAGTGGTGAGGAAGTATGCAATTCTCGGCAGACGAGTGATTTAGTGCAGGGCTCAGCTGAGAAAAGCGTAACCTGGCAAAGACGCACCAAGAGGATGCTGTTTTGGCCATCGAGCGAGATGAGTATAGACAGCCACAACGTGTTTCCTGCGTTCGTTAGCTGTCAGCTAACTTCGCGCTGAGTGCTGAAGATCATGACCAAACGTAGGCCTTGGAGCGATCGATGGTTATCTGTGTGCCTCGCTGGCTACGCAGCGAAGCACTTGTAGGCGTGATAAAAATCCCAACGGAAACTGCGGCGTGAACGCGCGCACGTGATGGCAGATCAACGAACCGTGTGTTGGATTATCTGACGACAAGGTTGGGCTTGGCAAGTCATGTCAATGTCATTTAATCACTGCCACATGTAATGGAGAAAGAGCAGACAATGCAGTCCGGATCACGTACCATGCCTGTTCCTCAGCTCGCGCTTATTACTCGGCTGTACAGTGAATGCGGTTCAAACGCCGCATCAACTTCACGAAAATATCATGCAGTGAACGCAGGAATGCGTCCCGTCACCGCCCGGTACGTGCTTAAACTAGTGATGAAGTTCGAGCGAACTTGGTTTGTGAACTGAACCGCCTCGTATCGCCACGGACGACTGTTCAGCTTGCGCTGTAGTCAGTGAAGTGTCAAAATGTCCCGAACTCAGCATTCATCGGATCGCACAGCACTGTGACACAACCCGATATGCGGTACACCGGATATTACTGGAACGAAAATTTCAAAGATTCTGAGCACTTCAAGTGCAGGTTTTGAACCCATGCGATCCGGAGAAGCGGCATGAATTTTGCCGCTGGTTTCTGGATCACGGGGATATTCCTTCTGTTATCTTTACAGATGTGGCATTGTTTCATCTGCATGGAACAATGAAACACTACTTTTGGGCTACCAGCAAACCACAAAAATTTACCTCATCACGTATGCAGCAAAGTGTGAAACCGATGGTTTGGGTTGGATTAACAAGCCAGAAAATCTTGGGCCCATAGTTCTTTTTCGGGAATGTGACCGGTAGGTTGTTGTTTTGAAGTAATAAAGCCTTATCTTTTCCTAGCATCGTCGTACTTGGAAATGCTGCAGACATTTGTGCTTCCCCAGTTGGAGGCCGAAGTGGCATGCAGTACCATTTGGTGGCAGCAGGATGGTGCACCTGCACGTTCTGTTAAAAAGGTGCGTGCTTACCTCACCGACAAATTTGGTCACCATTAGATTGGACGCGGTGGACCAATGGAGTGGACTGCTCACTCACCAGATTTGAACTCCATGGACTTTTTCTATGGGGCTGTCTGAAGCGGCGAGTGTACAAAACAAGACCCCGTACATTTGACCCATTGAAAGAAAATATTGTGAACGAATGTTGCGCGATCACTAGGGATACATTTTAGAAAGTGCTCGCTAAATGTATCAAGCGGTTTCTGCACTGCAAGCAGAACGCCGGCGGACATTTTGAACATATCCTTCACTAGCATAGCTGATCGTTCCAATACATTTCTGTTAATCTACGTACCTTCTTGCACAAATGTGTTAACGACTTAACTGATCCGCTGGCAATTGCTGCTAACAATGCGTCCGGTCAGCTCGAATTCTTAACGTCCAGGCTGTTGTTGAGCACATAAACAGGGTAGGCACCGAAACGTTCGATGGCTACTTATGGCGGAATCACTGAGTCGCTATGAGCTGAGGTTCGTCCAGCCTTAATGAAAAGCCGACTGTGTTGTTGACTCAATTCCAGGTTATTGCCTCTGAAGTCGGTGTTCGGGATGAGTTGCAGTAGGTGGCGACATGTGTAAGTAGGGTCGTTCCGTACCTGGTAGACTAAAATGAGGTCTCCACGTAGCCACCCGTAGGGTCTACCGAATACTCCGAGTGTTTTTAGTCGCTGCTGGTACGAAAGGTTGCACAAGTTATTGACACATTTTGTTGCTCGACCATGGTGAATTTCGAGCGCTGCAAGGTCACGGTTTAGCCAAGCCTGCCCATCCTAGATTGTGTATTCGACGTGGGAACGCACGTAGGCCTGGAGCATCATAGAGAAGATGAATGCATCCAAACTTTCGAATGCCATACGCAAGCTAACAACGTGTTGGTTACCACTTTTAAAACGGATTCCGATTGTTTGGAATAACCGAAGTCGTCCTGCATGAGCATACCGATGTCAAGTTCCTGAGGGGTTGGCTGCAGGCAGTATGCCCCAATTTTGCAGAGCTAGGCGTGTCTATGGCGGATGTGGAAAACGTGGCACTGTTCCACATTGAATGGCAATGCATTCCTCATCGACTAATGCCATACCACATCGATGTCGCGCTGGAGGATTTCATTGTCCTGCATGCCCTTGATCGCCGGCCAACTTTTAACGTCATCCGCCGGAAATCAAATTTTGCGGGTGATGGCTCTCGCTAGATCTTTGATGAAATCTAAGAACAAGCGAGGTCCAAGTACCGAACCCTGCGGTACGCCGCCCTCCACTCGAATCGGGTCGGACAGAGATGTTCGGATTCTAAGCTCCAATTGCTGTTCGCGGAGCAATTTTACCAACCTATCGTAATACCGGATCGCCCATGCCGTAGAGCTGCAGTTTGTGCAGGAGGATTCGACGATCCAAGCGATCAAAGGCTTGCAAAAAGTCCATAGATTCCTGTCTCCTCGTCGACTATTTTGGTCCAATTGTCACGTGCTATCAACAGATTCGTGGTACATGATCAATATTTACGAAATCCATGCTGCTCTGGCGCTATGATGCCGGAGGTTTCCATCAGTACGTCCGCGATGATCGCTTCCATGACATCGGCCGGCACAGGGAGAAGCCTTATGGGACGGTAACTGGCAGGCTCAGAGCGACTTATCTTGTAATACCTCGTTTCCACCTTGCCAGAACTATGTTTTCATCTAGACAAAGCTGAAACGATCCGGCAGTTGTTTGGGCTAGGTGCATGGCTGCTCATTACTATGCTTTAGGATGACTGCTATCCATTCCAGGAGAGTTATGTGTACGCAAGGATAGTAGCTTTTTCAGAACCATTGCTGCTGTGAATGTGCTGCCGGATAACACTGATGGTGTGGTGACAGAAGTAGGTATAATGTTTGAGAGTTTCACTCCTTGTAAAGTAGACAAGCACTGGGCCCGTAAGGCGTTGGCCGCCTCTTTTGCTGTATATGTATACCCACCAATCGCAGTGAGTGGTAGGATTCCGCGCTGCACCTGTCGAAGTTCATTCACATCTGTGTCTGTAAAGCAGTTTGTGGTTGGAACAGAATCGTTTCGTTAGCTAATGTTGGTGTGATAACCTGTCCTCACGAACCAGCTGTACAGTATAATTGCGCTGAGTTACCTACGCTGTCTCAATGCCATAAATTGTTGTGTTCGGTTTCTCAGTAAAGATTTTGGTGTGTTGGGACGGTGGCACGATTTTAGCTCTGATTTTTTGGTGACTAGTGACGTGAAGGTTTTCAAGAATTTTTCCCAGACTATCTCTGGTTTGCATTTAGTCATGTATCGCCAATTACCATTTCCAACGAATGCGGACAGAACGTGATAATGCGTAATAGGTTGCATCTTTTCGGGCTCTACATCGGGGTATTCGGCGTAGCAAATGTACTCAAAAGTAACATCATGTGATCTCTTTGTTCCAGAGGTCTGCATACATTTAGCCCCTCAAGCAGGGGCTCCTCGCTGGTGAGTCCTAGATTTAACATCGATGGCTTATTCGCTGTTCTGAACCTGGTTGGACCGGTGACTTGTTGTATACGGGTGTGCTAGGATTATCTCTTGGAAATAGGCCTTGAACTGTTCCGCCTCGGTTACTGGAGTTTTCAAAGCATGTATGTTGAAATCTCCTGTAATGCGGATATGGGTGTCTTTCTGATTTATGACAATGCGAAATGACGATATAAGTCTGCGGGCCATCTCCGGGGTGGATTCTGGTGGTCGGTAAACTACGGACAAGTGGCATGTATCGTCGTCTTTCAACCACAGTTTGCACAGAATGAGATCAGTGACACACTTTTGAAGACCATCTATGTGCCCCCAACGAAGATTTGTTTTGTAATAAATGATCACTCCCCTCCCCTATCCGTTCTGTTTTTCCTTAAGGGAAGAAAGATGGTCATCCTTCCGATAGTGCAAAGTCTCAAATCTCAGAGGTTCCGATTCCGGAGAGCAAGAGTGACCCTGAGGAAACTCAACAACCATGGCTGGTTACCCTGGCCTCCGGTAAACGCTACTGGTTGAGGCTCAAAAAGGGCTCATCGAATTGGCCAGGTACACGTCAACTGTCTCTGTTTACCTCTGATGACACTCACTTAACGGAGAAAGAGACTAGGAATAATTCAAGCGTCGACAGAAGTTTATGTGAAACTATACCATCTGAGCAGCTAGAAACTTTCGTATCCTACGACCCCGCAACAAGAAAAACATTGTTTACGCGCCCGTGTGACCGTTTTATGGTTGTACAACCTGAGGAAAACGAGATGAGCGGAAACATCGTGCAACATCCGGACGGGAGCAGAATAACGCAAATTTTGTACCAACAAGTAAGTTTTTATTAGTTTTTCCTCACTACCAACAGAAATGTCAACAGACAGGCAGTTTCTTACCGCCGTCTATTATTAAATTATATCTATTAGTGATTAATAGTTGACAGCAGCGTCAAATCGCTAAATGACGGTGCACTCAGATGACTAGTTTCCGGTGTAGGATTGAAAATCCTGCTCCTTAGTTCCGATGCAAACGTCCTTCGTGCTAATAATGACCATCTTCCTGGCCCACCATCCTCAAACAGATTTACAGCCAGCAAGAATCTAGCGGGATTAACCTATATTCCCGTGCAAAAATGTCAGGGTAGCTAACTGTTTGTTCGTCTCCTCATAGTTCACCTCTCACATTTTGCTCTCTTCGCTGTTTACCTGCTCGTGTGTTGACCAAAGGTTACCAGCCTTCATCCCTTCTTAAAATTTTTGGACTCGATCCCTGATGATGAATCCGAAAGCACATTGTCACTCCAAAATATTGAGTTAGAAACTAAAACGCAAGTGGCATAGATCTTCTGAGATACTCTGTGGCAAGGGACGTTATTATTCCAAGCCTTCCCATAGCATAGTGAAGAAAACTATTGCCATTTTAAGCATGAAACCGATTGATTCTTCTGGACTATCGCTTTATTAATACACAACCACAGATGCCTTTCGCTTAGACTGAGGACGAGCAATGGAAGCGGAATCTGACTGTTATGGACCTAAAGCAGCACACTGGATTGCGGAGGTAATCAAGCCTCAGTTTCAGCTCGATTTAACAGTTCTTCCTACTAAACTGCTTAGGTTTCACGCTGCTAGCTTAATTCCGCCCCCATTTAAGCACGAGACATCAGGCTCGGTGTCAGATGTAAGACCTAAATATCTGGTCTCCTACACTAAAGTCGCATATGATCAACTTCGGCTGTGTCCACCCAAAACGCTAACCTACCTCTGCATGAGAGATGAGAGAGGTTTGACCACGCCTTTGTCTATTCCATGTCACTGTTAAATAAGGCTGAGCACAAATGGTTTGACCAATTCACTTGACTCAGTGGTCCTGCTACTTGCATTAAAGCGACTGTGATCGAGGAACTATTGCCACATAAACCTGTCGAATATTAGAGTAAAGGCTTGCTGTCATCTTGTTACTGGGCAGAGATAAACATTCGTTAATTAAGTGAAAAGATATCTGAGGAGTAGACATCAGAAAGAAGGGTTAGCAAACAGCTTGTTTTCTATGGATCTCATCAGGCGTATACACCACAATAGGGATAAAGTACTCGAAATACATCAGGCAATGACAAAGTGAAGCTTAGCTTTATTTCAAAACCAGTCGTGAGGCAGCAACTCAAGGACAGACTTCCTCGATCGAGTGTTTCTTTCTGTGTGTACTGATTCTCTTGTTCATGTCGGAAGAACCACCAGGTGAGTGTCTGAAAGAGTCCGTGAGCATTGCCAGGCTTGGCTGTGTACTGGTGTGATGAAAGCAGTAACAAGCGACATGTTGGTGCATTTAGTTGATTCTAATCACCAAGTCGATAACCGCCAGACTTTGTAACCCATTTACCGCTTACCTGGGCGCCACACACGAGCGGTAAGACGTCGTTTACTAGCAAACGCCGAAGAGATTGACATCCGCCTCCAGAACATAGATTTATGTGCGCAAAAGCGATTTGTGCAGTGTTTTGTCTACCTTGGCCTCTCACCACAATGACCCATGTTGGGGAACACGCCACTCAGATGTCACCGACCGCTTCTGCACCAACCACCTGGCTCTGTCATTCAGACAACCTAGACCTTTGAACCTTGCCCCTGTCTGAAGTATTTCGCGTACTTTATTCCTATCAGTTGTGGTATATAGGCCTGATGAGATCCACCGAAAACAAGCCTGTTCGCTAACGCTTGTTTCTGATTTGCTAGTTAGTTGTTGTTGGTCTGTTCACTGTGGTTCCATGATGTAAGCGTACACAGCAAAGACCCCACACGGAGAATTCACACACGAAAAAGGCGCACACAGAAATTGCACACATGGAATCATGCTAGCTCTACCGCTTAACATCTACCTGACTGCCCTGCGTGCCAAAGTCTCCGTGATTCATTCAGAATACTCAACAGACAGAGCACTCCTCGCCTACTGCAGTTTGCCGAAGCCTCCGCGATTGGGCGGCCATAACCCACTTGGTGTGGACAGACCGAGTTCGTGGCTAGTTTTGCCTGTCCTCGGGGAGATTTGTGACCGCGTCCCGCTGAGCAGGACCTAGGCCGGCATCAAATGACTCTAGATTGCCAACGTCTGACCAATGTTACCACACAAGGAAGAATGCGCACACAGGAGAACTCTGGCACGGGAAATTTGCAGCAGTCTTAATAGTTCCCTGGTTTGTTTGAGTACATGTGTAGAATTGTACTCGAACTTCTTCCAATGTCACGACCGATGAAAAACGTTAAAGGTAAGTTCAAGCCGTCTAACTGAACCGAACAACATACCTGCGGCCGGATCACTCGCACACTTGCGGCCCGTGTTTCTATTCCTGCTTCCCTAGCCAGCACAGTTCAGTGTCTTATATAGCGGGACACCATTGTAAACGGGCAAGAAAATGCTTGTCCCTTCACAATTCCGTTCCTCTGGACTGACCTTCAGGTTTGCACTATAAAGTACTCAGGTGGCAAAACACCCGCTTTCACATTGATGTCACACACATCAATGTTAATGAAGTATAGGTGCTAATGTCATGCAATAAGAGTACAGGACTTGATTGTAGGGGTAATGCTTGCCGAACTGCAGTAGGCGAGGAGTGCTCTGTCTGTTGAGTATTCTGAATCAATCATGGGGCTTTGGCACATAGAGCAGTCGGGTATCTGACAAGCAGTCGACCTAGTATAATTTCGTTGCGTACTTTTCCATGTACGCGCTATTCCGTATGCATATTTTTCCGTGTGTTCATTCTTCATGTAGGGTTTGTGCTGTGCGCAATTTTCATGTGCGCTTTTCCGGTTGTTGTTCCCTGTGCGCGACTGCTTACAGGAAGTAGCGTGCCTCGAAGGTGGCTTCGTCTGAGAAGTGAAGTAGAGAATTATTCCAATTCGGCATTCTATTTCCCCGCCGCAATTAACCCGGTATTTTCATATTTGTCCGGCTGAACGCGCAGTAATCATGAGTCAAAGTAATGGATTCCTAGCAATTCTCGTCGATTGGAGGATCTTTTGAACTACCTGATCAATTGATACCGAGTCAAATTCTCTGGATAGTGCTTCGGGAATTTGGTGTCTAATATAAGTTTGTTGACCTAAATCGATGCTTCAAAAATTGCCAATCATCCGGAACAAATCATTAACTTCGCTGGCTATTGCCAATCTGCAGGATGACGTCAAGAGCCATGCAGGTTCTCAGGATGAATTGTGGGCACCGTTCGGTGGATTCTGACACCAACGATGCTACCGGAATCACATTTGCTAAATATCCTGTTGAAAACAATTGCGGGTGTAGTACTTGCTCCCCTTGTATACCCGTCGGCCATTGCTAGCAGTATATGCATGCTCAGGTAGCAAAGCCGATAAATGAGATACATTGTAAAAGACGCACCCTATCATAACTTCATTGGCGACAGATGCGCTTTACAGCCAGCCCTTATAATACATTAAGACTTCGTGAAGTCAGTCGTGCGTGTAGGCGGAAGAATTACCACGAAAACCACGGCCTGCATGTCAAGATCATAGTCAGATAACTCCACCATCTGCGCCTTCTGCCGTGATCCCGGATAACCCATTATTTGTCTGCCCCATGCGATTACCTATGCAAAGCTCTAGGTTTTTCTTGCAACTCGCATCATAGTATCGAAACTTGTTCTCGATAACCTTATCTGACACCTGCTCTACCGGCTATTTCGCGATTCATTGTTTTGCTAACCATGTCTACGTGGGTTCATTCCAACCCCGCTGCGAGATACGACCGCGCCCATACTGTGCAACATGTTCAGGTGTCCCACCACTCGGCATGGATTTGCTCCCATCCCATACCCGCTGTGACGATTGTGCACTCCCACCCAGGGCTACTAATCCCAAGGGTACCCAAGCCCTTATTCATCTTTAATCCCATATCCGTAAAGAGACTCGTAATCCTCATTCCATTTGAATGTAATGACACCTTATATCTTCCTGTGCGCCGTGCCGCGGACCAATGGGATAATATTTTGGACATCTCAATAAAAGAACCCTCGTATTCCTCTTTTGGAATCTGTGACATGTGGCCTTGCTGTACGGTAGCAAGTGAGTTGATGTTATTTCATTGTGTAACTGTACGAAGACGCGGTTGTTTCAAGACTGAACAGGCATTGTTGAGGTATGTAAATATACATTCAAGTTTTATTGTGTTTAATAGTACCGTAGTTAACGTCTCGGCTTTCTTTCTTGGCTGGATCCGGGAGTTTTACGAGTCACTCGAGCCCCAAGCAAATCTGTCGCTTACAGTGCGAGGCAATGCCAAGTGTGTGTGCACATATTTCATTCGTATTAGTGAATGGATGGATACGTTTTATGTGAGACAACTACAGGCTCAGTGCGTTGTATTATTCTTATAGCTATGTGATTAGGCCGCAGACATTTCAGCAGCACACTAGGCATATCCGAATGCGCAGACATGGGAAGCTTACATAACGCAGAGAAATCACTGTGTCAAAGTAGTCTAAGAAGACGAACTCAGGTATCAACGAGACTGAGCGTGGAAATTCACTATGAATCCTCAGATGCCACACAGGCACGTAGTCGAGCTCCGGAGAGTGCAGCCCGTGATCCCAGTTTTACGTGCAGTAGATAGTCTGTCGCTCACTACACAAGATACGGCGAACGCACTACGGTAACACTTTCCAAATTGAATCGTCACATCATCCGTTTACAACATAGCTCGCAGATTGGGAGTTATTCGCAGCAACTTCCAGATCAGATAGCGCACTGTGTGCTCTGCAAAGCAACGGACGGCAGTTTCGACCTGTTGGATCTCAATAGTAGTGCTCATCCATCGGCTC